AGGTGTTTTATCTCCGTTATGCGCGCCGTGAAAGTTCTCTGTACATTTTCTAGGTCGGCAATTTCACCTGCCTTGAAAGGTGCTGTTAGTGTGCAGCAATATTCCAGCCTAGATAGAACAAGTGACCTGAAGAGTGTCATCATGGGCTTGGCCTCCCTAGTTTTGAAGGTTCTCATTATCCATCCTGTCATTTTTCTAGCAGATGCGATTGATACAATGTATTATGGTCCTTGAAGGTGAGATCCTCCGACATGATCACTCCCAGGTCTTTGACGTTGGTGTTTCGCTCTATTTTGTGACCAGAATTTGTTTTGTACTCTGATGAAGATTTAATTTCCTCATGTTTACCATATCTGAGTAATTGAAATTTCTCATCGTTGAACTTCATATTGTTTTCTGCAGCCCACTGAAAGATTTGGTTGATGTCCGCCTGGAGCTTTGCAGTGTCTGCAATGGAAGACACTGTCATGCAGATTCGGGTGTCATCTGCAAAGGAAGACACGGTGCTGTGGCTGACATCCTTGTCTATGTCGGATATGAGGATGAGGAACAAGATGGGAGGATTGAGGATGGGATGAGTCCCAAGTCTTCTCCCTGTGTGTTCACCAATTGTAGGTCCCCTATCAGGGATTCTTCAGTACCTGCCAGAGTGCCATCATCCAGGTACCAGATGTTGAGCTTGCTGCATAGGCTGGAAGTTGGTTCTCTTACTGCCAAGCAGAAGAGAAGTGGAGCTAGTGGGTTACCCTGCTAAACACCTTCTGATGAGAGAATTTCATGTTCTCCAAACAAAAGAATTGAGGGTTTGCTGTAGCCAGCTGAAATGAAGGGATAAAGACTAGGGAACCGATCCCGAACAGCTAGCAAGACAGCATCTCTCTTCACCATATTAAAGGCATTTCTAAAATCAAGTTTGACTACAGCCTTGTAGGTCCCTGATGTAGGCCCTTGCCACATGAGCTGCAGCCTCACTGCCTTGAGAGACCCTAAAGCCCAGTTGGTGTGGCTGGAGTAAACTGGCAGCTTCTAGGAGAATGTTTCTTACTGCTGCTTTGGCAACGAGACGGCGAAGAGTGTTTCCAACCGCAATGGGTCTGATTCCCCCATCCTTCTTCTTCAACGCACATAGTGAGGCTCCAAAAAAGAAAGGTTTAATTTCTTCTGGGATTCACCCAGCCAGGCAGTTGTTGACGAAAGCTGTTAATTCGGTGAGAAGAATTGATGCAGATGCACCGAGTACTGGATTTACCATCTCTTTGAGGTGCTGAGGTCGAATTCCAGTGCAATCTCCTGCAGATCCTGCTGGAAATGACACAATCGCCTTATAGACTTCCGATTCTGGCAAAATTAATTATTCAGTGATGGGGTCTTCCTCAGGGTTGTTGTTTATGGCTATGGCATCCCTGGTTGGAGGCTTGTCTCTTAGTGCTTGGGCCGTGGTCTCATCTTTGGGGGCTACAGTGTCATCACTTGTAATTATTCGGATTGCTCCCACTGTGTTACCTTCGATTTTTTTGCTGACCTATGCACAGATTTTCTCGTTTTCAGTGGGACTTTTCTTGGGTCTACCTCTGTGATTCCTGCGATGATGGGGCAGAGGGACACAATTATCCATTCTTGGGTAGTTGCGCACTGCCTTGATAACTGACGTGGTTAGCAGTTTGCCTCGTCTCTCAGGAACTGCAAGACAGACATTGCCGAACAGGAGTAGGTTGTGCTATGCTTGGATGGTGCCTCAGGCTTCTAAGTTGGTGGAACCTCCATTCACCTGCTTAAGAAGGTCTGTGAATTTCCCTGCTGCATATGGGCGAGCTGCTTTAGTGATGTGGGATAGTGTACTGCTAGCAGTGGATTTGAATGCCAACAGAAGGTTATCACAAGTGAGGAGGTTGCCATTGTAATTGTCATCTGCCTGTGGAGGCTGTGAGCTGCTCTCTGCTGGGGGCATATGTGATCCCGCACACCCATTGTGTGCACGAATGCGGCCATCCCTGTTGTGTGCTCGAAACTCTCCACACACCTGACATGTGCCTCTTCTTTCATCGTTGGGTGCACTGTTTCCCTGGCTTTGTGGGTGGCTGACTTCATCATTTGCCATACTTCAAACTGTGTGGTAAGTCCATGAACCCCATGTGGTTCATGGTGGTGGTGGGGGGGGGTAGAAAGGTCTCCCGTCCTTGTGGTGGGCGGTGGAGGAAAGGGAGGAGTGGAAGATGTGTGATGAGGCGGAGTAGGGCACTCACTCCCTCCCAGGACAAGTCACTATATACCACAATGCTCTGTGCACCTGTTACTATACACCACTATGTTCTGTGCACAGCCCCCACTATAAACGACACACCGCTATACATTACACATGCTATGCGCATACCATGCACATACTACGCACTATACACTATATACGTTATATACACTGTACACACTGTGAACAAACACTCCATTGTTGTAACACGAGCACACGGTGTATGCGCGCCTGTTTGGGGAAGGGGGGGACACAGTTTTACCCCTCAACCTCCGCCTCCTCCTCCTCCATGAGGCCTCCCCTCACTGACCTCTCCTACCCATGTTGACCGTTATGTTCCCTCACTGAATTCACATACACAGCACTTTTCTTGATTCTGAAGGAAGAGACGAAATGCGGAGTCTTCTGGCCCTTTCCAACACGAGCAGCAGATATTCACACACCAGTCTGTTGATGATAATCCTGGTAGGTGTTCTTGATTGGACGATATTGTGCCAAAAACACAGAGCAGAATGCCCACAGCCTCTCTCTGGCAGAGGTGCCATATATATAATTATATATATATATATATATATATATATATATATATATATATACATATGTCGTGCCGAATAGGCAGAACTTGCGATCTTGGCTTAAATAGCAACGCTTATCTTGCCATATAGGACAAGCTAAAATTTGTGTATTCAATAATTACGCCAAAATCATTCTTAACCTAACGAAAAAAATATATTTCACTGTGTTTGTTTAGTATTAAATTATTGTAAACAAATCTAAAATATATTTAGTTGGGTTAGGCTAAAATAAATTGCGCTTGTTATAATAAGGTTAGGTAAGTTTTCTAAGTTCCTTTTGGTGAAAAATTTTAAATTTTTACATCAACATTAATGAAAAAAATATATCTTTAAACGTATAAGAGAAAATTTTAGAAAGGACTTAATTTTAAATGAGTTCTTGCTAATTGACCAGTTTTACATATTCGGCACGACATATATATATATATATATATATATATATATATATATATATATATATATATATATATATATATTATATATATATATATATATAACAAAAAAAAGGCACAATACCGTGACTTTGTCAATGATCCAAGCCGGACCGAAACGTCGTCGTAAGCTTCTCTCTTTTATGTGCGGGTTATTTGTATAATATATATATATATATATATATATATATATATATATATATATATATATATATATATATATAATATATATATATATATATATATATATATATATGTCGTGCCGAATAGGCAGAACTTGCGATCTTGGCTTAAATAGCAACGCTCATCTTGCCATATAGGACAAGTGAAAATTTGTATATGCAATAATTTCGCCAGAATCATTCTGAACCTAACGAAAAAAATATATTTGATTGTGTTTGTTTAGTATTAAATTACTGAAAACAAATCTAAAAAAATATATAGTTGGGTTAGGCTAAAATAAATTGCTTTTGTTATAATAAGGTTAGGTAAGTTTTTTAAGATTCTTTTGGTGCAAAATTAAAAATTTTTACATTAACGTCAATGAAAAAAATATATCTTTAAACATATAAGAGAAAATTTTCGAAAGGACTTAATTTTAAATGAGTTCTTGCTAATTGACCAGTTTTACATATTCGGCACGACATATATATATATATATATATATATATATATATATATATATATATATATATATATATATATATATATATATATGCAAGGAATTCGCAAGAGCAGGCGAAATATACACAAACACTGATCTCTGGCTGAAGGAGACTCGAACCTACGAACCATGGAACAAGGTACGCAGTGCTATACCAAACTCACCACACTGGACCAATACCTTGGAGTCCAGCTTGCACTAGACTTTGATCTAAGACAGCCAGCTTTTAGGGAGAAGGCTTACTGCTTTTCATCTCATCCCCTGCATGCATCAGCCTTACTAGAGAGTTTATCTCGTTGACATCATTATGCTGTATGAATGTGTTCCATACTCGAGTCATCCTGGGTACATATGATCTCAGATGGAGTGATGTTCTGGAGAAGGGTACAGCCAGAGTGAAGTTGCTGCTTTCTGCCCGTCTTGTGGCATAAAAGCTTCTTTCACGCTGTCCTGGAAGTGGATCCAAGTGTGGTACTTTGACAATATTGGCCTTGTACATAACAGTAAGGCCACCCACATCCCTCCTGTGTTGAAGGCTCTGCTGAAATGACAGATCTATCCAGGATGGGTCCAGGCGAGAGATGAGACGTCTTGCTCTGTTCTCTACTCTGTCAAGCAGTTGCAGATGAGAGGGGGGACAGGGAAACCAAGAAAGTGGAGCATGCTCAAGGTGTGAGCGTACTTGTGCCTCGTACAGAATCTTGCAACCCCTACTGTCAAGCAAATGCGAGATACGGCGAAGTGCTGTAAGCTTCCTGGCTGCCTTCATGGTTAGTTTGGAGTCAAATTTCACCCGAAGGATATCAACTTCTTCTCCTGGTGCCAACACCCTCCCATTCATCCTTACTACTGCACCAGCATTACCATCATGGTGCCTAGAGACGATCATCATTTGCGTTTTCTCAGGTGCAAATGTTACTTGCCATCTATTTCCCAAAGCTGGTATAGCTCTTAGCTGGTGATTGATGTAGCTTAGAGCAGCTTATATTTCTTCTCTTGGATAAGTGAATGTCAGTGTACAGTCGTCTGCATATGCATGTGATTCTGGGATGAGATGAAGAAGGTCGTTGAAGTAGACATTCCATAACAATGGTCCCAGCACGCTGTGGCTGCATCTTAAAGATATCATGGACCAAGTTACTCACCTTAGAAATCTGGAATTCTGGTTTATAGTAGTCATAGATGCGGACTGACCCAGGCTTGACATTCTCCACATCAATGTCCCTTATCACACGAAAGTTTACACAGGTGTTCTTTGCAGTTAATTCTTCAATGTAGAAGGTGATCTTGCTACCATCAACTTCATATCTCTTTATATTAAGATCATCCTTTACAAGCTTCATAAGATCTTCTTTCTCGGGAATGTAACCGGAAATGAGATCTACTTCGATAACTACCATGTTAGACTTGCCATCTGGGAGTATATAGGAAGCACAGGCAGTGATACGTTTAGTAACACACTTGTTGTCCGGGACTGTGATGGTGTTGACAGTCATATCAAAGGCATCACTTGCTTCAGCCTCGGGAATATTGTATCGAAGAACAGCCTGGAAGCAACAATATTTATTGATTTTCATTCGGGTTAATGTACTCTCAGCTTGATAATACACATTATCACTATTCCCCAGCAATATACACGAAAAGTGAATAATTCCATGACACACTTCTAGTACACAGGGTGAAACTTAACACCTAAAGTCAAGTTCTCTAAATGATCAACTGATGGTCATGTCCTGATATAAAATAACGATAAATCGAAAATATGACGTGTAGTATTAAAACGTTTCTTCACTCATGGCTTCTTCTGTCATGAGGACAAAAGAGACAATTTTTGGTGAAACGTTTCCTTAAAAAAAATCCTAATATTCCACATGTCTTATATAAACTGATTGACTCATATTTCAAGTTTAATGTTACCTGCAGAACAGCACATCCTTGTCCTTGCAGTGTGACAGAGACGGCGGTAGGAAGTACTGGCAGTTTTACGAGCTGTTGTAGAAGTCTGTTGTCTTCAGTGACATTGAAGCTGTGGGAGAAGCCAGTACCTTTCACTGATGCTACAACGTACAAAGGTCCCTGGTAAGTGTACGTAGCATACAGTGCTAGAGCCTGCAGTGCTACCACTGTGTCCTGTTCTCCAGACAAGAGAAAAGTGCAACGCTTTAGCGCATAGTTTATAAAAGTAACAGATCATATAAATAACATTTTTCGTACAAGTAATGAAATATAACATTTTCAGTTAATGTATTCAGACACAATGTTGGTTATCACTCAGTGGATATTACGGATCATTTTTGACATACGTTACTTAGTATTTTTTCACATGAACATTAAGATATCTGTCTTGACTTAAGAACTTCTAAGGACATCTATAATAAACTTATTACTAAGAGGATATTAAGCATCATTTTGACATATTATGTTAATACTTTTTTTATCCAGAAAATTAGGATATCTGGCTCTACTTAAAACACCTAATAATATTCATAATGCTTCATTATTTTAATACGCTTCTCAACTCAGGAAATTATCGTCTCAAATTAGTAGGGTCAATTTATTGAAAGTTGTAGCAGAACCTCTTACAACTGGCTATTATATGGAGGAACACTGCACGTGACTTACACGTAGCACTACGTTGCCTCTTTGTACACAGGTCTTCACTCCCCAGGTAGAAATATAAACACATATGCAGTTTAATGTGATCCTTTATTGACAACGTTTCGCCCACACAGTGGGCTTTTTCAAGTCACAAACAGGTCTACCTGGGGTGGAAGGTACGCGAGTATCTACCCCAGGTAGATCTGTTTGTGACTTGAAAAAATCCACTGTGTAGGGTAAACGTTGTCAATAAAGGATCACACTAAACTGCATATGTGTTTATATTTCCACTGTGTCGGTATTTTATACCATTTATTTCCACTCCCCAAGTAGATATGTTTGTGACCTGATAAAGCTTCACGTGTGAGAGAAGCATTGGTAATAAAGGATCCCATTAATTACACTGAATATTTGTCTTTTTTTTCATATTTTTTATATAGAGCAGAAGTGATGCAGGTGGAGGAGACGTCGCAGGTGAGAGTAGCCAACTAGTGCCAGCAGATCATGCTAAACAGTTGTATTTAACAAAGGAATTGCATCACGTCACCTACTTCGGCCCAGCACCTGACTCCAACATTTATCGGCACTTTATTTAGATTTTCAGTTATTTTCTTTGATCTTAAAAAGGTTTCATTTTTGTGAAATCTAGCACCATTAAAGGTCTCCTTTTGCTATATGCCTTTTTACCATTTGTTGGCCATACTATTCTTCAATATTGAGAGAGATTCTTGAAGAGAGACTAGACTCAGCTGAGATAAAGTTTTTACACCTTAATACAAAAATGAAAGATTATCGAAGAACACCTAACAAAGAAGAATGAAATAGTTGGTGCAAATAACAGTAGGAGAACGTAAATAATTGTTATGTTACCTGTGTGGAATAGAATCCTCCTTGTCCGTTTCTTTGGGTTGTTATCCATTTAACAACCTTCCTTGCTTGATCCCGATACTTGACAGAGTCCAGTGTCATCATAGCCATGATAGCGTAACCAGCTGTCTCCACTGCCACTGCATTAGATTTTCCTGGTAATAAGATGTTTTGTATACCGAATTTGACAAAGTCTTCATTATTAGGTACCTAAATTGAAATGAGAATTTTAAAACTTAAATGTGGAATGAAAATGTAATAAAGCGAAATTCACATAGCTTAGAAAATATGAGAAATTAGTAAATAGCATGAGTCGTAAATGTTAACATAACATAGGAATATAAGAATGGAGGTACACTGCATAAGGCCTACTGGCCCATACAAGGCAGGTACTTATCAAAATGACCTCTACAAAAAGCTACTTAAGAATTTACTCCCGTGTCCAATGACACTAATCAAACCCAGCCCCTCCCACTCATATATTCGTCCAGTCTCTTTCTGAAGCTACCGAGCATCCTAGCTTCGATAACCCTACTCGGAATATTGTTCCACGCATCCACAATTCCGTTCGAAAACCAGTAGTACTTACCTATGTTCTTTCTAAATCTAAATTTATCCAACTTACAACCATTATTTCTGGTTCTTACTTGGTTCGACACCTTCAGCACTTTATTAATAGCACCTTTATTTATGCCCAACCTCCACTTATATACTTCGATTACATCTCCCCTCGTTCTACGTCTCTCCAGAGAGTGGAGAATATAAGCTCAAAGTCTAATTTCATATGGGAGATTCCTTATACAGTAAATCATTTAAGTCATTCTTCTTTGTATGTTCTCCAATGAGTCTATAACCATCCTGTACTAAGGAAACCAAAACTGAGCGGCAAAATCTAAATGAGGCCTTACTAGTGATGTATAGAGCTGCAGCAGGCCTGCTGGTCAATGCGATGCAGGTCCAATTCTCCCACCTGCTTAAGCCAATGCCTTAACCTAGTCAGGTAAGCTACATTCACTTAAGGGAGGAGCACGGCAGCTAACCTAATAGCACAAGCAAGTCAGGGCCAACTCACACCCACCCACACCCACTCATGCATTTATCCAACCTATACATAAATAACCCGCACATAGAAGAAAGGAACTTACGACGACGTTTCGGTCCGACTTGGAATATTTACAAAGTCACACTAACGAGAAGTGTATGTATGTATAATGTTCGCCAAGACCGTAGTCCTGGCACGGGTCTCAATTTTTTGATGACCCGTCTCTGGCTCTCGAGGGAGAAAGGTTTCTACAATGATGCGACGTATGCTGCTCAAGCACTCTTTTGGTCAGTTAAACTGGTACACTTCATAAGTGACAACACCATATATACTCCTAACTATAGACACTAGCGAGGAGGACATGTGTGGAGAAAATTTCTCCAAGAGGGGGGTATCAGCCCCTTCAGCCCCTTTCAGCTCTTTCAGCCCTGAGGGGCCCAGCCCTCTCAGAAGGGGCAAATGTCTTGTTTACTGCTACAGCGAGTAATTGATAGCAGATGCAGTATGAGTATGGGACGTGATCGCTTCGACCAACGCTCCTTGCAGTGTTGCAAAGTGTAGTTTGATAAGAGACAGTACATCTCTTACTTTAGCAGGACAATTAAGGAAAATCCTGCTCCCTCTTTATTACCACAGTGAAGATAGTGGACATTGTTGTCTATGCTTAAGACAGCAAGAATCAAACATTCTGCTTTACTTCATCGAGGAAGTGGCAAGGAAGCAAAAGTACTAGGTCAGCTTTTTCTTTGTGCTAGGGGAGTAACGGCGTGGGGCGTTGTGACGTCTCAGATTACTTTTGACTCTACTGAGAGTGACATTGACGCCAGGATAACCAACAAAGAACGATCTGTGCATTAGTGTGAACAAAGTGTCTCATAAAACACAATAAACACTTAAGAGAAGTGTGATCAGCTTCTTTAGTGATAAGACTGTGAACAATAAAGACAAATCTTGTGGAACATAGTGTACCAGTGTGCGTTTTCCTAGACTATGGAAGACGTGGACATCCAAGGACACTTCAGCTTCTATCAAGTCACCGATATCTGTCGAAGGTGTGACGAACACCATAGCTCACGCTACAAGAGCAAGGTAGGTTATGAATTTCTTGTAGTACGGGGGACTGTGCAGTTCTTGACTCACAAGGAGTTTGTAATCAACCTATAGTCGGCAGTAAGGGGCGGACTTTTGAGTCCACACAAATAAGTTTGTCAGCAATCAGTGAATGAAATATGCTGACATAACACCCCCTAGGGGTAATTTATAATCTTACAAATTATAAATCTTTACAGCCCGTTGAGAGATGACTTCGACAGCTTCTCAAGACATCGTCTGCAGGGGCAGCTGTGCAGGCGATGAGCTGTCTTTCTAAGTTACGTACAAACTCTTTAAACTTAGCTGGTAATGCCATTTCTCAACAACATGTCGTTATCACGGGTAACAGCTTGTTTGATTCGTTGACTTCATGGTACACTAGTGTGGCCGCAGTCATCTCTGGGTCCTCTTCAGGAGGGAATATCACTCCTAGTTGCCTGCGGGGTGTCTCAGTAACTTCGCACTCCAGAAGATAGTGTGTTAGGGGCCGCTGGACAATGTGCTGACAGTACTGGCACATCTCCTCAGCCTTGTCTACCATCATCTTGGCTGTGGGAAAGCCCAAACGAAGCCGATGGATGGCGGTACACTGCGCTCTGGACCAGCTCTATCATATGGAGAGGGTTCTTCCTGAGTAGCTGCTCGGTACCACTGTTGAGATGGGGTATCACCTAAGACCTCCCCCATAATTTTCATGGCTCTGGCAGCCACCAGTTTTGTCTGTCGTAGGCTGATGTGGACAGTAATCCCAACATGTGGATAGTCTGTTGCTGCCTTAGCTGCATCATCTGCCGCCTCATTTCCCCGGATGCCAGCAGGGCTGGGGATCCAGTTCAATGTCGTATCTGTTACCCTGAACTTCTAAGGCTGTCATTATGCTCAGGATCGATGTGATGAGGTGAACATTGTCCTGTGGTTGAGGATGGGAGAGGGCATTGATTGCAGAGTTGGAATCAACATGTATGACAGGTCGGAGTCGATGTCGTAGGGCATGTGACAATGCCTGCTGAATCGCCACCAGCTCAGCTTGAAGGATCGTGCAGTGGTCAGGGAGTCGCCAGCCTTGTGTGTGACAATTGTGGTACAGTCCATCTGCTGCTCTCTTCCTGTCAGGGTCGACAGAACCGTCTCTGAAATACACTGCACATGTGCTTCCCTCTGCCAGTTCCATGCTTGTCTCGGCATGATTGCTGAGGGTGTCTTGACTGCAGAGATGCTTAGAGATGGGTAGCTGCATGATGCAAACATCGGCTGGATCTGGGCGCCAGGGAGGTGGTGGATGGTACTCAGCAACAGGAAGGTCACAACTCTTCTCAAGGAGTAGTTGTATAGGCAGCAGCTTCCGCCCAGCAGCACAAAACGAACGAATCCAGGAGTAGTCCGTGAAGAGTGTGGTATCTTGTGTCATGGTTGTCAATATCCGTCTCCTTAGTGGGGTACCTTGCTGCCGGTGCAGAATCGTGGCTACTTTGCAGGCGTTGTATCTTACTCTGTCAGCCAAGGAAGGAAGCCGGGCCTCAGATCTAAGACATACTGTGTTGGTCCAGATGAGGGCCCCAAGCATAGTTCTTATCTCCTGGTTTTGTACGACCTCCACCCTTTGCCTGCTCTGCGGGAAGAGATGAGCTAACGCCGGTGCACCGTAGTCAATGAGCGAGCTTATAGCTTGTATATAGTACAAGCGAAGTACATCTTTGCTTGCCCCTGCACGGTGCCTCGTCATGGCTCTCATGGCGTTGAGTCTGAGTAGAGCACGGGTCCTGACATACTCGGCCTGTTTCTGAAAGGTCAGCTTTTTATCAATGTAGATTCCCAAGTACAGGTAGGAGCCTGTCCACTCAAGTTCTATATCCTGAATATGTAATCTATTCACAGGATCTGGCCCCTTGAACATCATTGCAAGAGATTTCTCGGCCGAGATCTTGAGGCCTAGTTCCTTGCAAGACTGTGTAATTAGGTCCAAAGCTCTCTGAGCCTGTCGCTCTAAATTGCCTTTCCCATTCACTATGAGTGCAATAGCTGAGGAGCTGTGTACCACTATGAAAGGGAAGGCTCACAAGTTCCTGCATAAGGATGTTAAACAGGGTAGGACTGAGCACACCTCCTTGTGGCGTGCCGTTTTCCAGGGTTTTAAAGGAAGAGTAGTGTCCCTGAAAGCTGACACAGGCCTGCTTGCCCTTAAGGTAGGACTCTATCCAGGCCAGGAGGCGTCCTTTGATTCCCTTCCAAGCTAGTATTGCTAGATTTGCTGTGGGGCTGGCTAGCTCAAATGCCTTCTCAAGGTCGAGGTAGACGACGATACTAGGTTTTTTGTTACTATCAGCAATCTGGCTTAGTAGAGTGGTTATGCACTCTGCTGTTCCCGCTCCTTTGGTGAAGCCAAATATGTGATGATGAGAGGGTCCAAGTTTCCATAGGAGGCGGTTTAACACCATTCTCTCAGCAGTCTTGGCTAAGCAGCTGGGCAGAGATATGGGTCTCATACTGCCTGGGTCCTTGGGCTTTGGAATTGGTACGATGGTAGCTTTCTTCCAAGCTGCTGGGAGTGTCCCAGCCCTCCACGACTTGTTAATGACGTCAAGTATGGCCTTCCATCCACTCTGCCCAGCCCGTGCAATCATGGAGTACGTAACACCATCGATGCCCGGGGCAGTGTCACCTGTGTTCTTAATGGCACGTAGGAGTTCCAAGTCCGTGAGGTCTTCATCAGTCACATCTTCCGACTCACATGCAGCTTGTATCGTTAGCTGGCGCTGTGGCAGAAGATCCGTCTGTATATTCCGGATGTCCTGTGGGAGCTGAGTGGAGGCTTCCCTGGAAGTGAAAAGCTCCACTAGTTTCTCAGCTTCCTGGGATGGGTTCGGGTGTGCTGGTGGCCTCGGCTTGCTCTTGCCAGTTGCTATGTTGAGCTTGCCCCATATCTCAGATAAGGTGGTGTGATGCCCGAATGTTGAGCACCACTCCAGCCATTTCTCAGTTTTTACTCTGAGAGAGACTGCGGGCATGCTGCACAATGGCTCTGAGTATTCCTGTTCTCTGCCGTAGGGTTACGCCTGTATAGCTTCCTAAAAGAGTTGATTTCGGTGGTTCTGCTCCCGCACCTCGTCGTTGTAGAGCCACCAGTCTCTTTTGTGAGTGCGTCCTGCGGACTTCTTTGGAATTGCGCACTCTGCTGCCTGGATGAGAACAGTGATTAGCTCCAGTTCAGCCGTATCACAGTCTTCAGATAGAGAGTATGTGGACCACCAGTCATGAAGATAATCCTGGAACACCTTCCAGTTGGCCCTCTTTACGTCCCATCTAGGAGGCAGCACAACTGTGGGAGGCCTGTTGATGTTGAAGGTGGTGATCATTGCAAAGTGGTCACTGACAAGGTGAGGATGAGTTTCCCATGTGGCTCCTGCTGCGAGTTGTCTTGACCCGAAGGTAAGGTCGAGGGAGCCACCCAACAGGTGTGTGTGGTCTCCATTGTTTAGCACTTTACCTCTGGAATATCGTGTAGGAGCATTGCTATGTGTCTGCCAGCAGCATTGGTTGCTGGAGTGAGAGTGCAGCATTGGGTGATGTGCGTTGAAATCTCCACCCACAATAATACACTCAGTGCGTGCTAGTGCGAGGAGCTCTGCAATGTCGAGGGTATTGTCAACAATGCCTCTACCCAGGAAAAAAAAAATTCTCCTAATCCGTGTGCCTTAAGTTTCCTCAATAGCCTCTGATGTGGAACTCTGTCGAAAGCCTTACTGAAGTCCATATACACAATATCATAATCAATACCATGATCTACCTCCTCTAACACCTTAGAGAAGAAAGTCAGTAAATATGCAAGACAAGAACGCCCCTTTGTAAAACCGTGCTGAGATTCATTTATCAATTTATGCCTTTCAAAATAGCTGCGAATCGCTTTGGCAATTACTGATCACATAAAATTCCCAAGTATGGAGGTAAGGAGTTTTGGTCTATAGTTCGAAGCTAAGGACCTGTCACCTGCCTTGTAAATAGGTATTACATTTGTCATTTTCAACTTGTCTGGCACTATGCCAGTTTGTAGTGATATATTGAAAAATTAGCCAAAGGTATGCTAAGTTCCTCTTAACATTCCTTTAATTAAAACCCTTGCAAACAGTTCATCTGGGTCTTGGGTTTTTTTAGATTTTAATTTCTCTATTTGTCCGTGGACAATGTCACGTGTTACCTTAATACTGCAAAGTTTATTATCATTCTGTTCTACATAAATTTTAATTTCTGGAATTTCGCTGGTATCTTCCTGAGTAAAAATTTAGAAATAGGTATTGAAAAGTTCACACATTTCCTTACCACTGTCAGTGATCTGACCTGTGTTAGTCTTAAGTGGGCCAATCTTGTCCCTAATCTTACTTCTGTATACCTGAAAGAATCCCTTATGACTTTAGCCTCATACTCTCTTTTTGTTTTTCTTATTTCTTTGTTTATATTCTATATCTAATTGAATATATTGATTTCTTAACTTCGCATCCCCTTTTTTTATTCGCCTATATGTGCCTTTCGTTTGACCAATGAGATGTTTTAATCTATTGTTTATCCATTTAGGATCGTTATTGTTAGATCTAATTTCCCTACTCGGAACAAAGGTTGGTTGGGCAGATGGCACTATGCTTTGAAACACGTCATATTGGCAAACAACACTAGCTACCTGACCCACAGTCAGGTCATCCCAATTTAGCCCACCCAGGTAATTTCTCAGTCCCAAGAATTCGGTCAAGTATAAATCTGGGACAGAGAGTTGATTTGCAGTTATCTGGGTAATTCCATGATAAATTGACACTAAGTGATTTGTGATCACTTTCTCCAAGCTCATCATTAACCGCGAGATTATTAACCAGTGATTCTTTGTTGGCAAGAACCAAGTCAAGCAGGTTGTTTCCTCTAGTTGGTTCTGTCGCAAACTGTTTTGAAAAGCAATCCTGAACCGTATCATAAAATTCACTAGACTCAAGATTTCCTGCCGCATTGCTCCAATCAGTTTGTCTAAGGTTTAAAGGTCCCATTACACAACATTTTCATATCTAGAAGTCTTATGAAATTCGTTCCATAGCACTCCCTATCACACCCAAAATTTACTTTTCGCGACCTTCGAGAAACTGTAGCCAAACAGATTCTGTGTTCGATTATTCTAATCTTATATCTTGTTTAAAACAACTGTTTAAATTATCTCTGACATTCATGACCACTCCACCACCCTTCCTGTTGAGCCTATCAGTGTGGAATAGTTTATAAGCCTGTATGTTGCATTCAGAAGGTAATTCTCTGTCTTTCAAGTTGAACCAGATTTCTTTTACAGCAATAATATCTATATTACCTACACTTGCAAATAATCTTATCTCATCTATACTATTTGTATAGTAAACCTTAAGGGAGCTAGTCACTCACTGCCCTTTACTACGTATCTCTCTTTGTTTTGCTGAGTAATTGCTTTGCCTTTACTAACAACTTTATTTTGAATATTGTCTTTTAAGCATATCCCTGGGATATCCTTGTAATATCTGCTGTTTTCTACCCAAGTACTGCAGCCTGATTGCTTCCCACAAACACCCATTCCTCTATAATCTCTCAGTTTAAATTCCTAGACAAATCATCAATGACCCCCTCAATTGAATTAGCTAATGCAGCCACTCCAACCCCAGAGAGATGAACCCCATCCCTTGAATACATATCATGTTTGCCAAAGAATTTGTCCGAGTTGTCAATCAATGGGACTGCAAGTTCCTTGCAGCTCCTGTCTCACCAGCAATTTGTACCAATTGCCCTAGACATCTATGCATTGCTCACTCCTCTTCTAGGCAAGATGCTACATATGACTGGCATCTCTCCCTCAGACCTGACTACTTCTATTGCTTACCTGCACTTATCCAGCAGCTCCTGTCTCCTGCCCTTCCTGATGTCATTTCCACTAGCACTAAGACAGATAATGGGCTTGTTAACATTACTTGATATAATGTTATCCAACCTGTTCACTGCATGACCAACACCAGTTCCTGGGAGACACCCTGTGTCTGACCTTCCTCACTCTGCTACAATAAACACGGTCCATATGTCTTACCTGAGAATCTCCCACAATTAGAATCGTCTTACCTTGATTAGTAGGGGACTCAGTGGTACCTTTAACCCCACTATCCACCGAAGTACACTCGTCCTGGAGAACAGAGAATCGATTTCATACCTTCACATCTTCTCTATTAACCTTCCTATTCTTCCTTCTTCCTGAACTGTGAACCACTTGCCACTTAAAGATACTTCAACTCTTTAACTCACTTCTGGTATCATGTTCCTCCTTACCAGCACCAACCATCTCACACTCCCAAACCCACCTAGGTGAAGCTTCAGCCTCCTATTTTCCTCCTGAAGCAATAGAACCTCCTTCTTCAACACTTTAACCTGAGATTCCAAGACACTACAGCAAGCCATGGTTTTGGTAATTCCCAGACAGCTTAGGGCAGTTACATAATATCTGTCATTTAACATTTTAATGAGAAAAAATGGTTATTCAAACAGACTTCAAACATATGTACAGCTTCCATTTTTGCTTTTCTCTAATTTTTGTATTTCAGTTCATTAGCAATATAAATTATGTTTCAACTTCAGCATATTTTTCACCCCAGCATACCTGGACCCTCAGGCAGCTCCCAGTGGGTGGAGTTCTTAGCAACAATGGCCAGCTTCAGCAACTGTTGGAGAACGGTTTCGGCCTCCGGAAGCTCAGCCAGAGCGAAAGCATAGGCCTTCAGCGCCAAGGTATAAGGGTACTGAGTGGTGTCAGCATGTAGACACTGAGAAGCCTGAATGACAGACGGGCTACATGAATCATCATTAGCCTCAAGCATTGCGATCATCACATACGCGGTCAGAGGTACAGTAGAGTTGCTTGACTCAATTCCTCCCTGTGGTTGAAAGATATTAAGTTTCTTTATATATATATATATATATATATATATATATATATATATATATATATATATATATATATATATATATATATATATATATATATATATATATATGTATATATATTATGTCGTGCCGAATAGGCAGAACTTGCGATCTTGGCTTAAATAGCAACGCTCATCTTGCCATATAGGACAAGTGAAAATTTGTGTATTCAATAATTTCGCCAAAATCATTCTGAACCTAACGAAAAAAATATATTTCACTGTGTTTGTTTAGTATTAAATTACTGTAAACAAATCTAAAATATATTTAGTTGGGTTAAGCTAAAATAAATTGCTCTTGTTATAATAAGGTTAGGTAAGTTTTCTAAGATTTTTTTGGTGCAAAATTAGAAATTTTTTACATTAACAAAAATTAAAAAAAATATATTTTTAAACGTATGAAAGAATATATATATATATATATATATATATATATATATATATATATATATATATATATATATATATATATATATATATAATATAATATATATATATATATATATATATATATATAAGCAAAACAACCACTGTGAAAGAATAGATGATATTTTGTGTCTTATGCCCAAGAATGTAGATATACACCATTTCCTTGGCAAATTAAATAGCTTAGCCCATTCTATATACTTTACTGTTGAGTTTGAAGAAAATAACTCATTGCCTTTTCTAGATGTTTTAATTATTAAAAGTAATAATGAGTTCAAATTTAAAATTTACAGAAAACCTACAAATAACTGTTCCTATGTACACTATTATTCTTCACATCAAGATAGAGTTAAACTGTCTGTTTTCTCATCAATGTTTTTGAGAGCTTTACGTATTTGTAGTCCAGAGTTCATAGATGAGGAAATATCTAAAATTTATGAAATAGGTAATGATTTGAAATACCAAAGAAACGTCTTTAAAACGTATTTAAAAATCTTGATACAGTAAAAAAACTTTTGATAAAAAATTCCCCCCAAAATGCTGACGGATATGTCTATAAGATTCCTTGTAAAATTTGCGATAAAGTTTATTACAGTCAAACTGGTAAAAGTCTCGAACTAAGATTAAAACAACATAAATATAGCATTAGAACTGGACAAGATTCCAATGCTCTATTTATTCATGTGAGAGATTTTAACCATCCAATTGATTTTAAAAAAATTGAGAAAGTAGTATCAAGCAAGTCCATCGTCGACAGGAATATAATTGAATCTTGTTTCATAAAAAGCAGTTTTGACAATAATATGAATATTTCCTTTGGTTTATATAAATTAGATCCATTTATCATCAACAGGATTTGGGAAGAGTTTAATAATACATTGGACAAATAATAAATTTTTAAATTCTTAATTCTTGGGTAGAATAGTTTGTTGGTGGGTTGTGTAAAGGACCTGTCTAGTTGGGCCAGTAGGCCTGCTGCAGTGTTCCCTTTTCTTATAAGTCGCACGTCAGGTGTTGCTTTGTTGTGGGATGTGATAGTGAGGTGTGGGCTAGACCCTTTATATGCCTTCCATTGATGCATTACTTTCATTGTTCCTTGATAATGTGAGTAGTCACGAAAGCGCTTGGAATTTCTCTATTTTTTCACAGTGGTTGTTTTGCATATTCTGAAATCACCTGTTTACTGTGATCTTATTGCAAAAAAATAATATAATAATATATATATATATATATATATATATAATATATATAATATATATATATATATATATATATATATAATATATATATATATATTTATATATATATGTCGTGCCGAATAGGCAGAACTTGAGATCTTGGCGTAAATAGCAACGCTCATCTTGCCATATAGGACAAACCAAAATTTGTGAATGGAATAATTTCGCCAAAATCATTCTTAACCAAACGAAAAAAATATATTTCACTGTGTTTGTTTAGTATTAAATTATTGTAAACAAATCTAAAATATATTTAGTTGGGTTAGGCTAAAATAAATTGCGCTTGTTATGATAAGGTTAGGTAAGTTTTCTAAGATTCTTTTGGTGCAAAATTATAAATTTTTACATCAACATTAATGAAAAAAATATATCTTTAAACGTATGAGAGAAAAT